GAGCCAGAGCCCACCCCTCTCTGCTGTTTTGGGGAGAGCCAGAGCACAACCCTCTCTGCTGTTTTGGGGAGAGCCAGAGCACAACCCTCTCCGCTGTTTTGGGGAGAGCCAGAGCACAATCCTAACTCAACCCCACCGACACAGCGCACTGAAAATCTGACGGATGAAGAGGAGGTGGTGAGAAAAGGCTGTGAGGAAGAAGCGGAGGTGGATGTGCTGGACTTAGCCGAAAGGTATTTTCCTGCCCTCGGTGGTAGGATTTGGACATGTCACCCCCCTGATTTCAGGAGAACCCCAGTGCATAGGAACTAACAGGTTTTCCCCCCCCTGGTAACAGCAGTGAAGAAGAAACAGGCTCCAGAGCACCCACCCAGGGGGAATTTCCATTCCGCGCTCTCCAGGAATACCCAGTGAACAACATGGTGACAGGTAATGTTCAGCATCGGTAGGTATTTTAAGTAGAAAATATGCCTGAAAACGACTGTGGATGAAGCAGGGACCTGCCGGGTGCTCCTCGCTTCCTCCTGGTACTTCCAGCAGCGGAAATGCTGAGCGTGCTGAGCGCCTGGAGCCACCCCCTTCCCCTCCAGGCTTTGCATTTCCCATCGCCCTGGGAGAATGGGGCAGCTCCCCTCACCTCGGTGAGACCCACACTTGCCTCCACAGGCTACACCTCGGCTCGCGACATGAAGAAATACGACGGAGAGCTCCGTGATTTCATTCCCGGCACCTCGGGCTACGCGGTGTATTGGATTCAGAGCGAAATTAACATTTACTCTGCCGTGAAGAGGAAAACCAAGAGAAAATTGTAAGTTTGCATCAAAACCTTTCGTGAGAGCTGCCAGAGCTATCGGCTGTTTGGAAACTCAATCCCGGAGTCGGAGGGCGGGATGCCTCCCTGCTCGCAGATCGATGGATATTTGAACCGTCAGCCTGCATTTCCCCATGTTTTTGTTAAATAATAACGAGATTGGTGCTATCGAGCTGCGAATTCCGAGTTAAACCGCTGTGGTAAGCAGCGGATTTAGAAATCATCCCTGCTTGGCTTATCCGACTGCGGCTCAGCACGTCCAAAGCATATTTAAATACGTTTGCTCTTTTCTTCTTTACAGATTAAAACCAGATTTCACAGCAAATTTAAACACAGATGTTTCTTCCCAAACCACAAATCCTAACGTCTTTTTTTTCGTATGTACCTTGAGATTTCACAATGGGGCTGCAAAGAGTGTTTTTCCTTGGAGGGCCACGACGAGGTCTCCTCGCAGGGAGTCACCCCGCAGCACAGGGTGCCAGGGGTCACCCTAGGGACCCTCACCCAGCCAGGGTGCCGGTGGGGCGCTGCCCACCCTTCCCAAGGGTGCCCTGCCCGCAGGCTGTGGTGCTGGATGATGCCAACAGCCAAGGCCTGTCGGTGCCCATCTCCACAGGGGAGCTTCCACCCCCAGGCAGCCCAGTTCACCCCCCTCCTACAAAAACCAGCGTCAAGACTCCTTCCTTTCATTTAAACGCTTAAAAGTGACCAACAGGTAGAAAAAGCAATTTTTATTCTGGCACAGCGTGACCCCCCAGAGTTACCCACTCGGAGGAGGCACAGGCAAACCTGGGAAGCTCCGAGGAGCCGCCACAATTGTCCTCTCCCACCATCCTGAGAGCAAAAAAATCCCTTAAAATAACAGTTTTGCACCTCACACCCCAACAGCCAGGAAAGAACCCAAAAAGATGCCTGCAAACGTGAAGGCGTCCAGTCCTCCTTGCTCTCCGAAGCCTCGGCCACCTCTGTTTGGGACGCAGCACCCTGAGGAACCAGCCCCCCCTCCTCATCCCTGGGGACGCAGGCTTCCAAAGACCAGGCAGGCTGAGATGGTTTCCCCACGTTTATTGGAAAAGTGAGATACAGCGACTGACTCAGAGCGCTCCTCGGGGCGTTTTGAAGTTCATTCCCACCGTGGGCTGCGTCACCTGCAGGTTGGACAGGCTGCCGAAGTCCTGGAAAACAGCACGGGATTGGGATCGGGATCAGGCACACTGCCCTCACCCATGCCCGACCCTGCTAAGCGCAGACTCCTCCCAGGAGTGGGAAGCGTGAAGGTGCTGTGGGGGCACAAAGGCCGATTTGTGTCCCTGGGAAGAAGGGGAAATAACCACCCTACTCCGGAGATCAGCTCACCCTTTTATGGGATAACCCACCCTGATGAGGAGGTTCTCGGGTCAGCACCCTAGGGTGCTGCAGGAAGGGAGGGCAAGGAGCACACCCACCCTGCAAGCGGGGTTATGGGTGCAGACACCCTGCCTCTCCCACCCTATGAGCCAAATGG